CCCGTTAGGTTAAGTCCAGAAACAGGGAGTACACAGGAGCTATCAAAGTAATCACATAAAGCCCGGTTGGAAGAGGCCTTTACAGAGGATGATTTGTTCAACTTACTCCTGTACCACAAGCCTATTCAGTTATCGTCTGGAAATCTGAAGGATGGCAGCTAATTGACAGACTGAATGATGTGTCCACACATGTTTGTGTGTAGATAGCCTATTTCGAGCATGCCAAATGTGTGGTTCTTATTTATATGACTGCATATGAAGTCCACAGATTTTAAATAATCATGAAATATCTACATATGACTGTCTAATGTATCTCAGGAAAGGGGATTTCGAAACAGGACTTTAAATAAAGCATCCACACCTAAGATATTTTTTCCACATAGAAGTCACGGCTCTAGCGGGAGTGAAACCCTACCTCGTATGTAAATGGGTGCGGCAGGGGAACTGCAGTTAATGTCAACTTGCCTCTGGCCACACGCTGCACGCATCTCTTTGAGAACAGGGCTGTCATCAGATTTTCCCTCTAGTCTTTTTTGTTGCATGATGTCTTCAAAAAATACTTGCCATTTTTATTGCAATTTTCTTCTTGGGAGGATTAGTATTGTTTAAATATAATCGAATGTGTGCTAAATATTTAATAATATATGCTGCATTTACAAAATGTACATCTGTTCATGTGTGTTACAGAAAGGAGATAGAGGTACAGTGTTTCAGAATTAAAATAGTTATATTTTCCTGTAACAGGTGTTCATGTAACAGAATAGTTACCATTTGCTATTTTGCCCTAGAATGCACTTCTCTTTAATTATTTTCAAATAGCTGCAACTTCTGTGATTTCTACGTACCACACTGGCTGAGACGGGGATATTACTGTAATTAATACAAATGTTTTCCAACTTCTGAAAGATCTATAGCGATTTTAGAAACACTAGTAAATATAATTAATCATGGTAAAATTGATGGTGCTTATATACTAAATTCTGTCAAACATGTTATTGAGATAAATTATTCCCTATGAAAATGTTGAAAATGAAGGTATTTTCATTTATACAAATATATTTAATTATACATGGATGAAACATAGTAAAAAAAATAAATATCTCCTACTCAAGTTGTTTTATATCAATTCTCAGAGCATACTGCCATGTGGCTCTGTGTGGAACTTTTACTTTGTAGATCTTGACCTCACACTCTTTCTTAACATTTGCTGCAACAGAATGTCAAACCCTTAAGAGAGCACATAATTTTGGCAAAGGGAAAATAAGAAGAAATTGCTTTGCTTACGGGATAAAATTAAACGTATAGGTTTTGTAAAAGTTTTTTAAAGAAGGTTTCAGATTCTATTAGTTCCGGCAAAGGCCAAATGGATTAATGCTCATAAACAGAAACCAACTAGTCATTCATTCGTGATAGATTCATAAAACATTCAGTCAAATAAAACTGATGGTCATGGCAGCTTTTAGTCATTATTGTCTATTTTTCAAAGGAAGAGTTAGTATGAGGTGACAGATTTTACAGTTTCTGTTAGAGGCCCACGCTGAGCAACTAGTTTTTATAGACAGCCCATCCTTCAGGAGACAAAACCATGTCCGCTCAGCTAATAACTGACAACGCCCCCAGTACCGTGCCAAGCAACTCCCCGTGCTGGAATTTGCGAACGTCCCCCTCCAGCCCTGTCAGGTGGAGACAGCCTGGCGCGCTGCAGAGCACAGACGGCAACGCCTGGCTCATCCTGGGCAGCACAGACACCCCATTGTATTTCCAGAAAGACCCGTGCATTGTTTCATCCACACTTTCTCTTGGGCGCAGCCTGTCTTCACGACCAGTGGCATCTATCTGAGTTGGCTGACTCAGGATGCGGCGGGCTGAGGAGACACAGGCTGACTAGCCCATACAGGAACGCGCTCCAGTTTGAAAGCATTAGGCTCTAACCAATAAAAACGACAAATAATACACTGAAATCCACACCAGAGGTGGTTCTTTTCCTTCCCTCCCGTGTGAAGCTGGTAACAAGAGGCTGAGAGAGAAAGGACTCACCAACCAACACCTCTGGGCCTGAACTGAACAGGGAGGGCCTGGGGCAGAAGGTGTGAACAGTGGCTACAGGGACAAGCACGGACTGCACTTCCAGAACAGCCGCTGTGTCCCTGTGTCGTGATGCCACCGCAGGCTGCCACCTGACAGGAACCTGATACTGTGTAACTGGGAGAGCTACAGGGATTTTCTGGTTCAACTTTCCCAACTTATTAATGCAAATGAGGAATCTAAGACAAGTTCAGAATAACAAAATCAGTTCAAATACAGATCTGGGAATTCCAAATCTAAATGCAGTGTTTTTCTAACCAAACAATGTTGGTTAGAAAAAGAATGTGTTTGTCAATAACATTCCAGCAACTTATCTATGATTAATATCATGTTTTAACTGCTCTGCTTAAAAATACTGCTTTTACAATTTACCCTTGAATTTTGGTGACAAACCTTGAACAATTAGAAGTTTTCAGAATTTCTATGAAATATGATAGTTTATGCCACATGACCAGTCTAAATTTCACAAGTTTTGTATTTCCAGGCATAGTACATTGGCTAAGTTGCCCGACGGAGAACACATTCTATATTTCAGAAAAAGTCATGCAGAAGTGGTGCATGCTGTGAAGATAACCCTTTTAAGATTGTTACCCAAGTAAATAATCATGTAAATCTGACAAGACTTATTGGTGTTTAGTGTAAAGTTGATCAAGGCCATATGCTACTGTAGGCAATCTCTTCCAATGCATAATTTATAACATAACCTCAGCGACCACCTGAGAGTCCTCGGTAGCATAATGAATTAATCCAGCAGAAACAGACCCTTGAAGGATTAGTTGACATTTAGCTAAGGTCACAAGAGCAACTGGATTAGTAGTTTCAGGCTCTCACAGAGAGCTTGCCAGAAGACACAAAAATCCAACATATTCCCAGAATTTAAACTAAACTAAAATGTTTAGTTTGGATATGTAGGCATGGAAGGGCCTAATGTTGCTTAGGATTTATACTGGGCCGTATTTTTTTAAAAAGTACAAACCACTGGTGCCAACAATAAGCTACCTCCATAAACATCAAGGTGGGGAACAGTCGAAGGACATCCAGGAAAAAACTATGAGAGGTGAGCGAAAAAAGGGAGACAAAAAGAAAGAAATGTGGGGGAAAAAGGGGAAATAAAGACATAAATAGGTAAAGAAGAAGAAGAAGGGGAAGAAGAAAGAAGGAGGAGAAGAAGAAAGAGGAAGAGGAAGAGAGGAAGAAGAAAGGTAAAGAAAGATGAGGTACAGAGAAAAAGAATGAAAAGGAATGAAGAATGAACAGTGAAGAGAGAAATCTAATAACGGGGGAAAAGAAAAAGGGATAAAGGACGTATGACGAGCGGAAAGGAAGAGTGGAAACAATGGGGACCAAGACTCGTGATGCCCACAGCTGTGGCACAGCCACCGTTTGTCCTGGTGCCTGGCCGGGACGAAGGCGCACATGGAGGAAGACGCGGGGAAGGAGGACATGCAGGTGTATGCATTTGGATATTAACTCTCCCCTGAAATACTGCTGCTACCCAGGGTTTTATCTTCCCTCTCGACATTCCTCCTTCTCACTCTGTAGTGGCCGAGTGACCTCATCCAAACCATGGCTTCACCTCCAGAAATGCTGGCGACTCCCAGCCTATGAAATCATTATCCCTAGGCCACGACGGCATTGCCAACTGCCTGGTGAAGGTCTTCACTTGATTTTACGGGATACTGAACTTAAAACCTGCAAAGCTGAGCTCTGCATCTTTACTCCCCTGAAGTGTTTGAGCTCCCATGGTCCACACTCTGGTGAACGGAAATATCTCCACTCCCTTGCCCAAACCAGTCACCACAGCAGGTTCTTACTATGTTGTCCCTTCTTCCTCCAAGTGGCTACTAAAATTTACCTCCTAAATATTTCTAATGTTTCCCCTTCTTTTCATCTAAGGAGTCTCCTGACCCAAGCTCCTTCCCCTCCTCACTATGCCTTCCTGAAATAAAATCGAAGCATGTTACTACCTGCTCAAAGGCCACCAGCAATCTCAGGACCAAGTGTAACCTCCTTCCTTGACCAGAGAAGACGTTCAAGTCCCCACTCTGCTGACCTCCTACCACCCATGACCTCACTCCCACTCCGTGCCTATAACTGTGTTCAAATGACAGAGAAAAGGAACAAGACCCATGCATTCCTTCTGTCTGGGAAAACTTACCCTATCGCTTCTTCCCATCTATATTTTTATGCTAATTTTTATATAAATGGAAGATTTTATCATTAAGCAAGTTCTTACTTGTTTCCACAAAACGAGACACTGGGTATCTTTCACATACGGGCAGTGAAGACTGCTTGTTAAAGCCATTCTGTGTTTCTCCTCCCCCAGGCTATCTCTTGGCTATACAGGGCAATCTTAAACCACACAAATTGCTCTACGATCTGTTCTGAGACGTGCTGGCCGAGGCCCTGCATTTTTCTGTCGGGCTCCTCTTTGCGATTCTCTCTCACTGGGTGTTGTGCTGATGACCTGCCTGAGCACGGTGCCTGCGCAGAACACAGGCTCAATTAATTCTGTCATCATCATCTTTGTTAAAATGAGAAGGAAAAGTCATCTTCCTCATCTCCTCGAGAATATCAAATGTGCCAGTGTGTTAGCAATAACTACTAAATGTTTCCTGGTGAATCAATGGCTTTTACGATTTTGCAGAGCTTTATGTACCACCCTGTGGGAAGACACAGGATTCTTACGTTATTTTGGCACGACAGGCTTTGTATATTCACAAAATCATAGCCATTTACTCTAAATTTCTGTCCCATAACCTTCGGTGCTATCTGATGAAAAATGTTAACAATCACAGAATCGTAGATGTGTTTTGGACATTAAAGCCAGCGTCGTCACTGCGTATCTTCACACACTAGAAGCACCCTGCAAACAACGGGATATAACTATGTCTTCGGCAACACGAGGAGCTCACCTTTTGTTCATTACCAACACAACTCCGAGAAATATAATAACGAACAGCAAGATGCCTGCAATGACTCCAGCAATTTTGACTGTATGGTCTGTCTGTTTCTCGGGTTCTGGGACTGGTTTCGGAGTGGCAGCTCCTGAAGATGAAAGGAAATGAAAAAGGAGAGAGAGTGAGTGAGAGAGAATAAAGATGTCACATTTTAAAAAATTTCGCTGCATTTAACAGAGTAATAAGACTTATCAGAGCCAGCAGACAGACAAGCTTTGATTTTTTTAAACAGCTTTCATATGCACTGAAAGGAGTATAATTGTGCACGTTGTTCTTCAATATTTTATGGAACTGCAACACAAGCTGGATAGCACACCCACGCCTGACCCTCTTATAGGAGACTCTTCTCAAACAGTTTGTAAAAAATATTTTTATTATCTCTATTGGCTCCTGCTCTTTCTGCCATTTAAAAACTTAGTCACAACACAATAGCTATCCCTAAGCCTTTATCCAAATTTGATTTGCTGGAACATTTTCTTCAATAATTTTTCATAAATGAAGCAGTAATTCCATAACATATTAGCCCAAACACCTGGAAAAGTGAGATAAGCTCATTTACCACGCATTTTACCAGCAATTGTTTTTTAACACAATAGAGTATTTTCCCCCTGTCTTTGGAAATCTAAATCTAGGTCACATCTGGTAGGCAAAGACTCCTTCTAAGCAATTTATTCACAAAGTGGGAAGCAGCTGATGATCACACCACTGGCACCCACATTTAATTTCTGTTTAAATGAGATAACCAGGCCCTCACAGTGGCGGCGGCGGCCTCGGCTCTCCTGCTGTCTCACAGCCAAAACGGAGACGTGTTTGTCCCGTTCACCATATAATGTGATGGAATGTCAAATCCACGTCTGAGGAAATATCCATTTCCTCTGCTCAATGTGTTTCGGATGAAAAATATTAAGAATGTAATACTCAATTCCCTAAACAGAATCCATTTTTTAAAGGAGTTCTACCTTTCTCATCAGGCTGTGATGAGGTTCACCATCTGAGCCAAAACACCCCACTCACTGGGTAGACACATCACTCCGAACAGAGGAATTTCACCTCCAAA